TCCTTCCTTCTCCTTCTTTTCCCCCCTCCCTCCAATAGCACTTATATACCGCTTCGCAGTGCTTCACAGCCCTCCCTGGGCGCTTTACAGAGTCAGTACACTCTCCCCAACATCCTGGGTCCTCATTTTCCTGACCTGGGAAGGACGGAAGGCTGAGTCCACCGGAAGGGAGCCGGTCAGGACCGAACTGCCAAACTGCAGGCAGCCGTTTCAACCCCAGCCAGGAGATAACGCTGAAGGATTTTTTTCTTTTTTCAAACGCTGAAGCGCCACTGACCAACTGGCTGCCTGGGGTGTGGGGCCCCCCCTTACCAGAATGTCCTCCGCCATGTGGCCGTGGGGGTTCTCGCTGACCGAGAGCCCGTTCAGCTGCTGCTGGAGCTGCCCCAGGCCCTGAGGCAAGTCGCGGGATGGAATGAACCACTCCTGGTCTTCTTCGTCCAGCATCTCCTGGAAGCAACGGTCCAGGAACTCCTGCTCCTGAAGCTCCTCCTCCACCTGGGGGGTTGGGGGGGGAAAAGAGAAGCCGAGAGTCGGAAAAGAGGTTCCTCAGAGGCAAGGTCGGGGGGGCCGGGCAGGCCGGGCCAGGCTCCTCCGGCCACCGGCTTCAAGATGGGCATCTCAGTAAAAGTATCCATGGTTCCCTGCCGCAAAGGGAAGCAGAGGCGGTTAAATGGATCCTTTTGTCCAAAGAAGAGACTCTATCCCAGGAGGGGTCTTCCAACTTGGCCCTTTGATGACTCGTGGACTTCAACTCCCAGAATTCCTCAGATAGGCACGCTGGCTGAGGAATTCTGGGAGCTGAAGTCCACTCCTCTTAAAGTCTATCTCAGGGGTCTTCCAACTCGGCCCTTTGATGACTTGTGTACTACAACTCCCAGAATTCCTCAGCCAGGATGCTTTAAGACAGGGGTTTTCAAACTTGGCCCTTTGATGACTTGTGGACTTCAACTCCCAGAATTCCTCAGCCAAGCATGCTGGCTGAGGAATTCTGGGAGTTGAAGTCCACTCCTCTTAAAGTCTACATCAGGGGTCTTCCAACTTGGCCCTTTGATGACTTGTGGACTTCAAGTAACGTGGCTGTGAAGCAGGGAAGCCATCCTCTGCCAGTCCCCTAGAATTAAGATCACGTGAAGTTTTAATACCGCTTTACAAGGCCTTGGTAAGGCCACACTTGGAATCCTGCATCCAGTTTTGGTCACCACGATATAAAAAAGGTGTTGAGACTCTAGAAAGAGTGCAGAGAAGAGCAACAAAGATGATCAGGGGACTGGAGGCTAAAACATATAAGGAACGGCTGCTGGAATTCGGTATGTCTAGTTTAATGAAGAGAAGGACGAGGGGGGACAGTATAGCGGTCTTCCAGTATCCCAGGGGCTGCCCCAAAGAAGAGGGAGTCAAGCTATTCTCCAAAGGACCTGAGGGTAGGAGAAGAAGATGGAAACCAATCAAGGAGAGAAGCAACCTAGAACTAAGGAGAAACTTCCTGACAGTTAGAACAATTAACCAGTGGAACCACCTGCCTCCAGAAGCTGCGAATGCTCCAACACTGGAAGTTTTAAAGAAGAGACTGGACAGCCATTTGTCCGAAATGGTATAGGGTTTCCTGCTTGAGCAGGGGGTTGGACTAGATGACCTCCAAGGTCCCTTCCAACATTACTACTACTACTACTACTACTACTATTATTATTATTATTATTATTAATAATAATCATCGCATAGTCAGCCAGATGTTCAGACTGGCATTTTGTCTACCTATCGAGTCCTTTCCCAGGACCTGGGATAGGCAGATGTGGATGTTTGATGGTATTACAGATCTCGTTGCAGGATGGAAGCTTTTCCTAGTAAGGCTGCCTTTTGCAATTGACTAATGGCAAATTTGTCAATGCCGATGATGGTGTTCAAGTGATGCTCCAGTTGTTTTGGGATTGCACCCCAGGCGCCTATGACTATTGGTACTACCTTTGCTTGCTTTTGCCACAGTCTTTCTATTTCTATTTGTAGGCCTTTGTATTTTGTGATCTTCTCCAGTCCTTTCTCGTCTATTCTGCTGTATTACTATTATTACTATTATTATCTCCAGCTCAACACCGTCTCTCTGTCTAAAGCCACCAGCACACCAAATCCTAAAACCGGATTTAAGCAGCCCGGCTGCTCTGCTCCGGAGGCGCACCAGCACGCCCAAGCAAACCCATTCTGGCTCAGGGTGAAGGCTGGTTCCCACCGTCGTCTGAATCACACGGTAGCCAAGCCCATCGCAACCCAGCCGAAGGCATTGTGTAAACTCAGCCATCCAGTTCTCCAGAAGTAGGCTAGCTCAGCCCTGCCGGGAAATCCTGGATCCCAATTCTGGGAAATCCCTGCTCCTTCCCAAACTAGTAACAGCAAAAAGAGCTCCAAAGGTCAGATGCCCAGGGAAGAATGAAGCGCGTTCAAATCCTGCTTGATAGGGTCGCTGGAGACCTGCGTCCAGAGGCTGCAGCTGCCCTGCTCAGAGGCAGAATCTTGGCCTGCTTTACAAAGAGGATCCTCTGAGTATTAACCCAAAGGGGCTTCCTTCCCCCCCCCAAAAGAGGCAATTAGACTTTCTTAGTTTTTTTTCCCCTTGAAAACGTTTTGCTTCTCATCCAAGAATATAACTAAGGCAGAATATCAGCAAATAGCCCGAGCCTGCAAAAATGGAGGAAAGCTAAGGCTCAAAATGAACTAAGGCTTGCGACCAAAGTCAAAAATAACAAAAAAAAGCTTCTCTCAACATGTAAAAAAACAAGAAAAAAGTGAAGGAAATGATTGGTCCATTGGAAGAAGGTGACAAGCAGCAGGGAGAAAGCAGAACTATTTAACTCGGGTTTTTTGCATCTGTCTTTGCATCTGTATAGGGTTTCCTGCCTGAACAGGGGGTTGGACTAGATGACCTCCAAGGTCCCTTCCAGCTTTATTATTATTATTAAGCTTCTTCAGGTTCTCACACATCAGTGAGAACTGAAGGAGCGTTCTGCGTGAAAAGCCAAAAGTTTTCTTTTTTGTTTGTTTTGTTTTAGAATTTTTTAATTAGTTTATAAAATAGAAAAGTGCAAAAGCAAATAGTAGGAATAATAAGGGAGGGAAAGGGGAAAGGAGAAGTGTAGAAAAGAAGGGAGAAAGGAAAAAAAGGCATCGACACCCGATTCCCTTTGATGCAGTAGAATAAGGTAATAGCATCAAACCTCGATTTTTTACTTTTACATCATAATATAAACTAGACATTTCTATAACAGCAAACCTATCTAATTGGTAAAACCCATAATCTAAGTTTAAATTTTTTCCCCACCTTGAGCACAAAGCCCAAAAGCAGCTTCCAAGTAGAAACAAAAGTAATTCTGTTTTTTTTTTCTTTAACAAAGCAATTTAGCCATCTCTGCTAACTCCATCAACTTTGCCAGCCCTTCGTCCATTTTTGCGCATAAAGTAATCTCGCTGCCTCAATGTTCCAATTTCCCCCCACAAAAAAACTCTTTTTCCATTAAACCCAGAAGACAGGTTTTCTGGTTTTAGCTTTATATTCGCTTTGAGAACCTTCTGTGTTAGGGTGTGAATCTCACTCTAATACTTCTTTGCTGAGAAGGGAAAAACAAACAAACAAGAAGAAACAATGGTTGGAAACCGATCAAAGAGAGAAGCAATCTGGAATTAAGGAGAAAATTCCTAACAGTGAGGACAATTAACCAGTAGAACAGAAGTTGTCTTCAGAAATTGTGGGTGCTCCATCACTGGAGGTTTTTAAGAAGAGGCTGGACAGTCACTTGTCTGAAATGGTATAGGTTCTCCTGCTTGAGCAGGGGGTTGGACTAGAAGACCTCCAAGGTCCCTTCCAGCTCTATTCTATTCTATTCTATTCTATTCTATTCTATTCTATTCTATTCTATTCTATTCTATTCCATATTCTATTCTATTCTTCCATTCCTATTTCTTACACTATTCTATTTGTCTTTTCTATTCCTATTCTATTCTCTTCCATTCTTATTTCTCTTCTCTTCTCTTCCATTCTATTCTATTCTTATTATTCCATTCCATTCCATTCTATTCTATAGACCAATATTTATTCTATTCTATTCCATATTCTATTCTATTCTATTCTATTCCATTCCATATTCTATTCCATATTCTATTCTATTCTATTCTATTCTATTCCATTCCATTCCATTCCATTCCATATTCTATTCCATATTCTATTCTATTCTTCCATTCCTATTTCTTACACTATTCTATTTGTCTTTTCTATTCTATTCCTATTCTATTCTCTTCCATTCTTATTTCTCTTCTCTTCTCTTCCATTCTATTCTATTCTTATTATTCCATTCCATTCCATTCTATTCTATAGACCAATATTTATTCTATTCTATTCCATATTCTATTCTATTCTATTCTATTCTATTCCATTCCATATTCTATTCCATATTCTATTCTATTCTATTCTATTCTATTCTATTCCATTCCATTCCATATTCTATTCCATATTCTATTCTATTCTTCCATTCCTATTTCTTACACTATTCTATTTGTCTTTTCTATTCTATTCCTATTCTATTCTATTCCATTCTTATTTCTCTTCTCTTCTCTTCTCTTCCATTCTATTCTATTCTTATTATTCCATTCCATTCCATTCCATTCTATTCTATAGTCCAATATTTATTCTATTCTATTCTATTCTATTCTATTCTATTCTATTCTATTTTATTCTATTCTATTCTATTCTATTCTATTCTATTCTATTCTATTCTATTCTTCCATTCCTATTTCTTATTCTATTCTACTCTATTCTATTCTATTCTATTCTATTCTATTCCATATTTTCTATTCCTATTCTATTCCATTCCATTCCATTCTTCTATATCCTTTTGGAAAAGCTGCGTTTGGGACAGCCAGGCCCTGGATGGTGGAGGATCTCCACAGACTCGGAGTCTTAAGTGTTGCAGCCGCAATTCAGCTCAGAGCTGGTCCTGAAGGGGACTCAAAGGCTGCCCCATTTGCCTTCAGCCCACGTCTGCGGCTTGTGAAGAGGCCAAGCACAGCCGGCTGGTTTGACGAGACCCGTCTTTTCCCCCTTCCAGGCAGGGTTCAAGGCCCCGGCTGCCTGCAATTAAAGCTTCCCAAAGCTGCAGTCCCACGGCCCTTTGGAGTGGCTGCTTCCTGTCATTAGCAGGCTGGAGCCTCCCGCAGTTTTCCCCGCTCTTGAAAAGAAGCCGCCCTAAACCTCCCCTTGCAATCTGCCCTGGCAGAGGGACAGACAGATTTCGCAAAGCGTTTTTCCACTTTGAGAACTCCGGGGCACCGTCCCGTTTTTCAAACTTGGATATTTATAACCTGCGGGAAGGGCACGACACGCGGCTGGTCCAAGCAATTCCGTTGCACGCTCTTAATCCCCGGGGATAAGGCCGCTGCCTCTTCTCCGGGACCCCCGTCCTCCCTCCCAAATTCAGGGGTCCCTCAACTTGGCAAATTGAAGGCTTGCGGATTTCAACGCACAGAATTCCCCAGCCAGCCGGGTTGGGGACCCTGGCTGAGGAATTCTGGGAGTTGAAGTCCACACGTCTTAAACTTGCCATGTTTATAATAATAATAATGATAAAGTTGGAAGGGACCTTGGAGGTCATCTAGTCCAACCCCCTGCACAGGCAGGAAACCCTATACCATTTTGGACAAAGGGCTGTCCAGTCTCTTCTTAAAAACTTCCAGTGTTGGCGCATTCACCGCTTCTGGAGGCAGGTTGTTCCACTGGTTAATTGTTCTAACCACAAGTCTTAAAGTCGCCACGACTGGGGACACTGGCTGAGGAATTCTGGGAGTTGAAGTCCACAAATCTTAAAGTAGCCACATTTGGGGACTCTGGCTGAGGAATTCTGGAAGTTGAAGTCCACAAGTCCTCAAGTTGCTAAATTTGGACACCGTTCTAGCTGTTATCAGAAGTCTAAAGTGACCCTTGAATTGTCTACAAGGGATCTGAAAAACGTGATATCATATCTAGGGGTGACATGATAGCAGCCTTCCAGTATCTCAGGGGCTGCCACAAAGAAGAGGAGGGGGGTCAAGCTATTCTCCAAAGCACCAGAAGGCAGGAGAAGAAGCCACGGATGGAAACTCATCAAGGAGAGAAGCAACCTGGAACTAAGGAGGAATTTCCTGATAGTGAGAACAATTAATTTAATCAGTGGATCAGCCTGCCTCCAGAAGTTGTGGGTCCTCCATCCCTGGAGGTTTTTAAGAAGAGATGGGACAGCCACTTGTCTGAAATGGTATAGGACAGGGGTAGGCAACCTTGGCCCTTTTATGACTGGTGGACTTCAACTCCCAGAATTCCTGAGCCAGCCATGCTGAGGGGAAAGGGAGAGGTTTCCATACTGAGCCATGCTGGCTCAGGAATTCTGGGAGTTGAAGTCCACCAGTCATGAGGGGGCCATAGTTCCCCCATGCTGGCTGAGGAATTGTGGGAGTTGAAGTCCACGAGTCATAAAAGAGCCAAGGTTGCCTACCCCTGGTATAGGGTCTCCTGCCTGAGCAGAGGGCTGGACTAGAAGACCTCCAAGGTCCCTTCCAGCTCTGTTATTCTGCCTCTGCTCAGCCCCCTAAGGCAGGGAAATCGAGCACAGGCGGAGGGGGGGGAGAAGAAAATTAGTGCAAGACGGCTGAAGAAAGTCCCAGCCATGATCAGATTGCAAGTCTCGGCTTCCTGGCTGGCATTCTCACTACGCAGACTCCGAGCTGGCATGCGTTGCTGGGCTCCGCGCCCATGGAAGGGCATCCAGGCTGGCAGCGCCCTTCTCCCTAGCCACGAAGCCCGGAGGACAGTGGGGAGCCAGGAGGAGGCACAGAGGCCCGCCCTTGGAGACTGTACTCCGGGCCACAGACCGCGCCCGGGAACAAGGGTTCCTTCTGCTGCCGAAGGACGCAGTGTACCCCGCCCCGGGCTTGTCCGGGGCACCCTCCCCTCCGCCGGGGTCTCTGTCCAAAGTGAGGGGGGAGGCTCAGACTGGGCCCCCCCCGGAGGCCTCTCTCTCACCTGCCGGTTGAAGTCCTCCTCGTTCTCCATCCACATGTACTCCGCGAAGGGGTTGCTCTCCTTCTCATCGTGGCCGTTCACGACTTGCTCCTCCTTGGATTTCGCCGGGGGGACCGCCGGGGGGGTTGTGTTGGCCACATTGGAACCATTCATCCTTGGAGAGTCTGGGGGGGGAGAAGACAGAGGGGAGGGGAGAGGTTAACGCGACAGAAGCAAGCGGGCGCCCTGCGAATTTAGGCAGGGAGACGCTTCCCAAGCCTCGCCTTTAAGGACCGCAAGGGGGTCCTCGCCTTACGGCCAGAATTGAAGCCAGGACTCCCCGTCGCTAAGCAAGGCGGTTGTTAAGCGAATCGCGCCCAATTTTACGACCTTTCCTTTTTGGGGGGGGGACGTGGCCATTAAGCGAATCGCTTGCAATTGTTCATGGCCCGGTTGTTAAGTGAACGTGGCTTCCTCCATTGACTTGACGGGTCAGAAGCCGGTGCGGTAGTTCCTGAATGGCGATCCGGCGATCCCGTGATGGAGCAACCATGATAAATACTGGCCAACGGCCGAGCAGCTGAATTTTGATCCCGTGGCCTCCGTGGGGGTGCTGAGACGGTCGTAAGTGCGAGCATCGACTGTACGTCACCTTTTCTGGTGCGGTTGCAACTTTGAACATTCAAGGATTATCTGTAGATCTATATACCTGTATATCTATATATCCATATATCTGTATAATATATGTATATACTATATCTATGTAGGTGTATATCTATATACCCGTATATCTATATAATAAATCTATACTGTATATTCATATACTATTTCTATATACCTGTATATCTATATATCTATATACCTGTATATCTGTATACCTGTATATCTATATAATAAGTCTATATACCTGTATATCTATATACTATTTCTATATACCTGTATATCTATATACTATTATATACCTGTATATCTATATATCCATATACCTGTATATCTATATACTATATCTATATACCTGTATATCTATATAATAAATCTATATACCCATATACCTGTATATCTATATACTATTTCTAGATACCTGTATATCTATATAATAAATCTATATACCCATATACCTGTATATCTATATACTATTTCTAGATACCTGTATATCTATATACTATTATATACCTGTATATCTATATATCCATATACCTGTATATCTATATACTATATCTATATACCTGTATATCTATATAATAAATCTATATACCCATATACCTTTATATCTATATACTATTTCTAGATACCTGTATATCTATATACTATATCTATATACCTGTATATCTATATATCCATATACCTGTATATCTATATACTGTATCTATATACCTGTATATCTATATAATAAATCTATACTGTATATCCATATACTATTTCTAGATACCTGTATATCTATATATCTAGATACCTGTATATCTATATAATAAATCTAGATACCTGTATATATAATAAATCTAGATATCTGTATATCTATATACCATTTTTATATACCTGTACATGTACTCCTTGACTTATAACAATTTGTTTACTGACCAAAGTTACAGCACTGGAAAAAAGGGACTTATTAGCTGTTTTTCACACTTATGTCCATTGCAGCATCCCCCTGGTCACCTGATCAAAGATGCTCCGCAACTGGTTCACGTTTACGACGGTCCCAGCGTCCCCGGGGGTCACGTGATCCCCTTTTGCAACCGGGGGGGGGGGGGAACCCAGATTCACTTGACGACTGTGTCACTAACTTAAGTACTGCAGTGATTCCCTTAACAACGGTAGCGAGAAAGGTCGTAAAACGGGGCAAAACTCACTTTAACAAATGTCTCTCTGAACCACAGAAATGTTGGCCTCCATTGTGGCCGTAAAGCCGAGGACCACCCGGATGTAGCTTTGCCTTCCTCGACCGGATAAGCAGCCTTGCCACTCTACGAAGCCAGCAAGGCAAACAAGCCCCATCAAACCCACACTGGGCAAAATCACAATGTAAAATGATTGGGGGGGGGGGAGGAAACGACACACAAAGGACACACCGTCAAAGGGGAGGGAGGGAGGGAGGGAGAGATATAAAGAGAGAGAGACAGAGAGAGAGAGATATAGAAATAGAGAGAGAGACATAGAGAGACAGAGGGAGAAAGAGATAGAGATAGACAGATAGATAGATAGATAGATAGATAGATAGATAGATAGATAGATAGATAGAGAGAGAGAGAGAGAAATAGAAAGAGAGAGAGACAGAGAGAGAGAGAGAGAGACAGGGAGAAAGAGAGAGAGAGGAGAGAGAGAGACAGAGGGAGAGAGAGAGAGAGACAGGGAGAAAGAGATAGAGATAGATAGATAGATAGATAGATAGATAGATAGATAGAGAGACAGAGAGAGAGATAGAGATAGATAGATAGATAGATAGAGATAGATAGAAAGAGAGAGAGACAGAGAGAGAGAGAAGGGGGGGGGAGAGTGTTTGGGTAGCCCAATATTCCACGTTAATACGGGCCTTTAAGGGAAGAAGCAACGCTTAAATCCAGGCTGGGCATTGTGTTGTATTCCCGCAACAGCACAGTGGAGGGCTGGGCTTCCCAGAAAGCAGAGCCCCACGTATGATTTTTCCGTTTCTTCTTCTGCTGCTTTCGACTACGAAGACGCAGGAAGAAAAAGGGGAGGGAAAAAAAAAACCAGGCCAGGGAAGGTCCATCCCAGGAGCAGCTGGAGGCAGGGAGAGCAGCGGTCCTGCTTTTCAACCTTGGCCCCTTTAAGTTCGGTGGACTCCAGCTCCCAGAATCCCTCAGCCAGCACCACTGGCTCAGGAATTCTGGGAGTTGAAGTCCACAAGTCCTCAAAGGGCCAAGTTTGAAGACCCCTGATATAGACTTTAAGAGGAGTGGACAGACGTGCACAGAGAATGACTGGCTGGTTGGAAACATCTGTGCTGTTAATGTGGACCGGTACCGGGCTAGAACTACGTAAACCTAGATTTTATTGACGGGTTTACATTTTTAAACTATTAAATTAATCATCTCCCCCTTTCTAGTCCCCGCGTTTCTGACAGGAGGCGAGGCAGGGGACGATGAGAGGGAGGGGGAGAGAGAGAGAGAGAGAGAGAGAGAGAGAGAGAGAGAGAGAGAGAGAGAGAGAGAGAGAGAGAGAGAGAGAGAGAGAGAGAGAGAGAGAGAGAGAGAGAGAGAGAGAGAGAGAGAGAGAGAGAGAGAGAGAGAGAGAGAGAGAGAGAGAGAGAGAGAGAGAGAGAGAGAGAGAGAGAGAGAGAGAGAGAGA